TCCGAAAAAAATAGCAGTGGCGTTGTTTACATTTTAAGTAAACCTATCACAGTTTTAGAAAACAAGCTCACACAACAAAAAATACAATTATCGGTAACGCGTTAATGAAACCCTTACAAATTATTTTGTTACCCTGGTATGTGGGACTAGACGGCAGCAACACGGACGGGTACGCTAGTTAGTATAAAGATTCTATAACATTCCATGGTGATCGAGAAGGAGATTTTGATGTCTTTGATGGTTCTCATTATTTGCTCATTATAATGATGTTATTTGTAATTAAACAAAGTTTAGATATGCCTATTGGGTCAGTAGCTTGGCCATTCTCAGAATCGAACATATAGAAGCAGCTAAAGTAGATCTCAATGAACTTATTAATTTACAAAATTAAAAGCATGGGAAAAAAACAGATCTAAATAAATCGGATGTTACCCTACGTGTTTACTAAAGGTGTCACACCATCGTCCCCAACAATTTTGCATTTTCGGAGAGGTGTTAACCCTCTCTCACAAATGTTTTATTATTTTATCTGGATACAACTTAGTTTTGACAGTAAATTTTACAATGTCTTGTCATGGTGTCACTCCTAAATGTTGTCATCCTATGCTGACCGCACCTCTGTCCCCGCCTTGTGACGCTACTATATTTGTTTACTTAAAAAAACAAACAAATTAACTGTAAGTTTAACATTTTTACAAAACTACATACTAAAATAGTATAAATACACAATAAGGACGAATAAATTATAAAATGTACAGAATATTTATATTTTTTTATATCCTCCATCATAAGTAGCAGTTGTTTTTTTCGTTTAACTTCATTGTAGCTTAAAGGCTAACGATAATTTTTGCATAGGGGCCCAAAAATCCTAGCTACGCCACTGCTAGGGTCACATAAAGAAATTTTAGTTGTTAAAATAAGTATTAGTCTCTAGGACCAGTAGTACATTTAAAAGTAAGATCATTTATTTAGAATGCCTCAGTCGATGTATCTTTATGTTAAATGTTATAAATATGTATCAATATTTATACACGAGAAAAAGGGCCCGTTGAGGAAGGATACAAGTACAACGGGCGCTAGTTTTGATAGTGCTGTCCAAACCCACCTTAATTAAATTTAACCGGAAACGAAACGATTTTTATCCAGAATTGTCATTTTTATCGCATTAAGCTTGATCTACACGTAGTTATCGCGCATTTACACTAAATATTAATACTAATAGTTTCGCTGTCTGTGTATCTATCTATCTATCTATCTGTCTGACAAGAACGCTCTAGAGAAAACATAAGCAAAAATTCTATCTGAAAAGAACGCTATAGAGAAAACACAAGCAAATTAAAAACCTGCATAGTAATTCGAAAAACGAAGTATGACGTCGACACATTTAGCATAGAGTTGAAAATAATCTCAAGGCGGAAAGTGCACACAGTAATGTAATGACGTCATTGATTATCGCGTAAACATTGAATAAAAAGGAAATGTTGTCTAATCTAAATGGTTTGCGTGAAGAGTTTCTTGCATACAATTCTTCGGGTAGGGGCGAAGCCCCACCCCCCCGCGTAAGAACGTCTGAGCCCCCCCCCCTCCCTAACTCAAAAGAAATTTCTTCATCGATACTCTATAATAAAATTACCGCCTAATTAATGTGTCTAATCTAAAAAGTGGTTTTCTCGCAATTTCTTTAATGCAATTCTTCGGGTAGTGGCTAAGCGCGACACCAGTGTTTCTTTCAGACTTTTTCCTCCCCGGAGAGGGGTGGGGGTACTTGAAATTTGCGGGGGCGGACACTGGAGAAAAGTATATAATTATATTTCGTTGAATGGGACGGTAGACATGTTTTTTTGGGGGTGGGGGGGGGGGGGGTGGTGGTGTGTGTGTGGGGGGGAGGGTTGGGGGGGTGGTTTCCTCATCGATACTCTATAATAAAATTACCGCCTAATTAATGTGTCTAATCTAAAAAGTGGTTTTCTCGCAATTTCTTTAATGCAATTCTTCGGGTAGTGGCTAAGCGCGACACCAGTGTTTCTTTCAGACTTTTTCTCCCCGGAGAGGGGTGGGGGGTACTTGAAATTTTCGGGGGCGGGGGTAGAATTTTCGGGGAGGGGGCGGATACTGGAAAAAGTATATAATTATATTTCGTTGAATGGGACGGTAGACATGTTTGTTTTTTTTTGGGGGGGGGGGGGTGGGGTTGGGGTGTGTGTGGGGGGGGGGGGGGGGGTGGGGTTGTTTTAGTTTAGAGAAAAGAGACAGCACTATCAGCCTAGCGCCCGTTGTATCCTTCCTCAACGGGCCATTTTTCTCGTACTAAATATATTTACTACAGTCGTAGCCATACCTCTAAACCATGCAACTAATCTCATTCATGACAAAAGTCGCATTTAGAGTTTCTTTCTTTACTTGGGAGGAAGGGGCTATGCACAGCCCCCCCCCTCCACACATACACCAAAGCACCTCTACCGCCCCATTCAACGATATATAATTATATACTTTTTCCAGTCCGTCCCCTCACAGACAATGAATTTTTGCAGAGGCGAATAAAATTATCCGAATAGATGCATGAAAGAAACTCTGCAAGCAAACCACTTTTTAGATTAGACACATGAATTAGGCGGTAATTTTATTATAGAGTATTGATGATGACATTTCTTTTGAGTTGGGGGTGGGGGGGGGTGGGGCGGCTGAGACGTTCTTACGCGGGGGATGGGCTTCGCCCCTACCCGAAGAATTGTATAAAAGAAACTCTTCACGCAAACCACTTTTAAGATTAGACAAAATTGGCTTTTTAATTCAATGTTTACTCGAGAATAAATGACGTCATATTATTGTGTGCACTCCCACGGCTTTAGACTTTCCCATTATATTATGCTCCATGTGACGTCATGTTTCATTTTCGTTTTTCTATGCATGTTTTTATTTTGCTTGTTTTCTCTAGAGCGTTCTTGTCAGATAGATAGATAGACAGACAGCGAAACTATTAGTATAGACGAGATAAACGGCCCGCTGAGGGAGACATACAACGGGCGCTAGGTTGATAGTGGGGTCTTTTTTCTTCAACTCGAAATCAAAAAGAAAATCACCACCTAAACTTCAAATTTAACCGGTAACGAAAATTGTCATTGAAAACGGATTTTTATCCAGAATCTGCATTTTAACCGGATTTAAGCTTGATCTACACGTAGTTACTGCACATTGATAGTAAACACAGTCGAAGTCAAATCCCTAAACCTTGCACCTAATCTCAAACACGAATTAAGTCGCATTTAGGTGGGGGGGGGGGGGGGGGGCTCTGCCCCGAGCACCCCCTCGATCCCCACACACACTATAAAGCACGTCTACCGTCCCATTCAACGAAATATACTTTTTTAACACGTTTTTATTAACTCAGCTTCGCGTTTGTGTGTTTGTTGTTAAAATTGACATCGAAAATTAGCCCACTTCTGATTGCTCTAGAGACCTGAAATTTGGCATGCATGCTACTTTCGCCTAACAATTTCAGATGCAATCATAAAAACTAGCAATTAGTGACCGTAATTAGCTTAATTTAATTACGCCCCAAGGACCATAAAATTGAGGACATGATTTCTAAAGATACCGACAAGACTAGAGGCCTATTGATACAGTTACTTCAGCCCCAATCGATGTGAGCGCGCTGGCCGTGATCGTATAGTGGTTAGTACTTCGCGTTGTGGCCGCGACAACCCAGGTTCGAATCCTGGTCGCTCAAGATTTTTAGTCCGTGTATTTATAAACACTTTTTTAAAAACCACGTTTTCATGTGTAGCAACGGACTAAAAAGGAGAAAATAAAATACTTAAAAAAAAACTTTTTAAAAACAACGTTTTTTATGTGTAGCAACGGACTAAAAAGGAGAACGGACACGGTAACACATTGTTAACGGTGACACGGTTGGTACGCTGGGCATGCTAAAATACACATAAACACGTTTTCCTTAACTCAGCTTCGCGTTTATTTGTTTGTTTATGGGAGATTTGATCACGTGATTCGTGAGTAGATCTCCACGCCAGCAACGTAAATTACACCCTTTCTCTGTTTAAAGCGTATCGGTCGCTCAAGATTTTTTTAGTCCGTGTATTTAAAAACACTTAGTCAAGTCATACTTAATCAAGTGATTAGATAAAGTAGAAAATAAACTATATAAAAAACTTTTTGCATGTGTAGCAACGGACTAAAAAGGAGAAAATAAAATACTTAAAAAAAACTTTTTAAAAAACCACGTTTTTCTTGTGGACTAAAAAGTAGAAAATAAATTTTCATACATTTGATGACACAAAAACGTGGGTCGGGAAATTTGATGGTGAACGTACCCACGTTTTTTGTCATCAAATGTATGAAAATTTATTTTCTACTTTTTAGTCCACAAGAAAAACGTGGTTTTTTAAAAAGTTTTTTTTAAGTATTTTATATAGAAAACATTTTTACCTGTGTCCGCCCCCTCCCAAACAATTTAGTCCTCCCTTACCCCCGAAAATTTTAAGAACCCCTCCCACTTCTGGGGAGGAATAACTCTGAAAGAAAGACTGGTCGCATGTGTAGCTCATACAAACTAAAGGTAGAGCCCACTTCTAAAATATAGACATGTTTCCTACTTTCGAACGATATATATTTTACTCACGCAGACAGTGTTCGTTTCAGGCTTTTTCCCGGGGGGGGGGGGGGGGGGGGGGCACTTGAATTTTTGCATGGGCGAATAAATTTCGACGGGTCGGGGCGACACTGGTAAAAGTATATATTTTCTGTTTAAATTTTATTATACCTTTTTGGGAGGGGGTAAAGGGGCTTTGCCCCTACCAGAAGAGAAACTCTTCAGGCAAAACACTTATAAGCTATAACATTAGACACATAATTTAGGCCGTGCCGTAATGTCAGTATTTTTTATTATGGAGTCTCGATGACGTCATTTATTTGAGGGGGGGGGGGGGGGGTCGCATACCCCTACACCAATAGATTTTGTGTCCATACAGATTTTGTGTCCATACACATTGTATCCTATAAGGTGTGTACTAGTGGCCTATTTATGATACTTGTGTAGAAACTTTGATTGTGTATATCAGAAAAAGCAGATCCAGCAAGAGTTACAAAACCAACGTTAGTAATGAAGTGATACATTAATAACCAGAAGAAATCACACAATAAACAGACAATAGACAAATTCTTATTGACACTGTACATAGAAAAATAGACAATTCTTATTGACACTGTACATAGAAAAATAGACAATTCTTATTGACACTGTACACAGAAAACTAGACAATTCTTATTGACACTGTACATAGAAAACTAGACAATCTTTTAAGCAGTTTTACTTCATTGTCTTAGTGATGCAAATGCTATTTTATTAAATAAATAGATAAAAGGTAACACATGCATATATATATGTATGCACACGTACATGTATAATAATGTGTATGTGTTATATAAATATGAATGTATAAATATAGGCCAATAATTGTATACCCACATATATAAGCCTACATTTATAGATCTAAATATCACACAGAAGGTATAGTAAACATCCTACAAGGCTTAACAGTTGAATCCATCTTGAAACAACACATTTCTATTACAATTTGAAAGAATATAAAACAACAGATTGAATTCTGAGCTCCTACTTTCATTGGGTCAACACAGACAGACCTTCACTGTATATCATGGGTGTAATACACCCAGTTCAATCTATATCCTATGTGTAGTGACCTTGGTAAATGCCTTATTTATCCAGTATGGGCACAAAATAGCCTTCACTTACACAGAATAGTCAAATATATTTTATAATGGGTTATTAGTTCAGTAGACCTGGTATTTTATAATGGGTTATTAGTTCAGTAGACCTGGTATTTTATAATGGGTTATTAGTTCAGTAGGCCTGGTATTTTATAATGGGTTATTAGTTCAGTAGACCTGGTATTTTATAATGGGTTATTAGTTCAGTAGGCCTGGTATTTTATAATGGGTTATTAGTTCAGTAGACCTGGTATTTTATAATGGGTTATTAGTTCAGTAGACCTGGTATTTCAACAGAGAATAACCTGATTGGCCCATTCATGGACACAATAGAACAAGGACAGTTGTCAACTCCCATTTCTCAAACTTGTCAACTGCCATATTTTCTCAAACTTGTCAACTGCCATATTTTCTCAAACTTGTCACTTGCCATATTTTCTCAAACTTGTCACTTGCCATATTTTCTCAAACTTGTCAACTGCCATATTTTCTCAAACTTGTCACTTGTCATATTTTCTCAAACTTGTCAACTGCCATATTTTCTCAAACTTGTCAACTGCCATATTTTTAATCTTATGGATTCAATTAAACATAAATATATGCTAGTTTTTAATCTTATGGATTCAATAAAACAAGTATAAAAGACCTTTAAAATAATAAGCGTTTTGATTGTACTGAAAATGAGTAAATAAAACAAACCTTCTCAAATTAACAAATCTTAATTTAGCACCCAATGCTTTAATAAAAAAGAGAAAGTTTATATTATTTCTTTAGTGCATTTATTTTAAAAACTTTTTTTTAATAACTTGTTCTCTTAATAATCTAGTAATAAATAAAAAATAAGCACATAAAAATGAACTATTGAAACAGCACTGCTGTACTTGGGGTGGTAAACCATGATATACAGTGAAGGCTAACTAGGTCGTACATATTGTCTTAGGTTCAAAGATCAAACATTTATATAAAGAACAGTATGTAATTCCAACACTCCTGACATACAGATGTCAGCATACAGCCATACTTCAGACAGCTAGATGTCAGCATACAGCCATACTTCAGACAGCTAGATGTCAGCATACAGCCATACTTCAGACAGCTAGATGTCAGCATACAGCCATACTTCAGGCAGCTAGATGTCAGCATACAGCCATACTTCAGACAGCTAGATGTCAGCATACAGCCATACTTCAGACAGCTAGATGTCAGCATAAAGCCATACTTCAGACAGCTAGATGTCAGCATACAGCCATACTTCAGACAGCTGGATGTCAGCATACAGCCATACTTCAGACAGCTAGATGTGAGCATACAGCCATACTTCAGACAGCTAGATGTGAGCATACAGCCATACTTCAGACAGCTAGATGTGAGCATACAGCCATACTTCAGACAGCTAGATGTGAGCATACAGCCATACTTCAGACAGCTAGATGTCAGCATACAGCCATACTTCAGACAGCTAGATGTCAGCATACAGACATACTTCAGACAGCTAGATGTGAGCATACAGCCATACTTCAGACAGCTAGATGTCAGCATACAGCCATACTTCAGACAGCTAGATGTCAGCATACAGCCATACTTCAGACAGCTAGATGTCAGCATACAGCCATACTTCAGACAGCTAGATGTCAGCATACAGCCATACTTCAGACAGCTAGATGTCAGCATACAGCCATACTTCAGACTGCTAGATGTCAGCATACAGCCATACTTCAGACAGTTAGATGTCAGCATAGAATATTTAAGTAGGCTTTACATGTGTTGTGTACACATATTTACAATCAACAAAAAAATTTGATTTAGGGGGATGAAACATTTTTAAAGATGACATTTATGGGTGGGAGGGGGGGGGGGGGGGTTGACTTCTACACCACCATTATTTCTGTAGCCGGCTGTTTTAGTATTTAAATCATTCAAAATCTCTTCATCAATGTACAAGCCAACAGATTCCATTTTTTGGTCACTGGAAGAAAAGCTCTAATAATGGAGAAAATATTTTCTGTCATTGGTAGGTAGCAAAATATTTTCTGTCATTGGTAGGTAGCAAAATATTTTCTGTCATTGGTAGGCAGCAACATCAAGAGATAGTTAGGCAGACAGCACCAAGAACTGGATCAAAATGAACATTTTTTCTGTACATCAACACAGGAGAGCAAGAAAAATGGATGACCATTTGATGTCCACATTCACCCCTACACATTAGCTATACACAGTAAGAAAGTTCATTGGTTCAATATACTACAATCATTTACCAATCAATCATTTACCAATCATTTCCATATTTCACATCATAGATGATTGCATCAAGAAAAACTCTTCAATCAAAAACTTCCATCTAGGTCAGCAGCTGAAGTAGCACCTAGACTAACCAGCCAAGAGATCCAGACAAACAGCTCATACATTCTCTTGTTAATCATTCTAAAAATGAAAAAATAATTATCTTTCTTGTTAATCATTCTAAAAATGAAAAAATAATTCTTTTTTGTTAATCATTCTAAAAATGAAAAAAAAAATTATCTTTCTTGTTAATCATTCTAAAAATGAAAAAAAATAATTATCTTTCTTGTTAATCATTCTAAAAATGAAAAAAAAATAATTATCTTTCTTGTTAATCATTCTAAAAATGAAAAAAAATAATTATCTTTCTTGTTAATCATTCTAAAAATGAAAAAAATAATTATCTTTCTTGTTAATCATTCTAAAAATGAAAAAAATAATTATCTTTCTTGTTAATCATTCTAAAAATGAAAAAAATAATTATCTTTCTTGTTAATCATTCTAAAAATGAAAAAATAATTATCTTTCTTAATAATCATTCTAAAAATGAAAAAAAAAAAATCTTTAAAGAACAATGCACACTAAAAAAAAATGGATTCTGATCATGAGGTTCATTTTTTCTATACTGCACTAGAAAATTAGAATTGTGTCATGAAATGAAAAATGAAATGACATCTTTCTTGGATGTTAAAAGGTAACATGAGATTTTTGGAATACTTGAGCATCAATGAATGGATGATAAACTTACATCTCATAGTTGAGCACCAATGAATGGATGATAAACTTACATCTCATACTAGAGCACCAATGAATGGATGATAAACTTACATCTCATAGTGTGACCATCATCTTGTGCTGGACTCCCAACTTTGTCCTCAGTTCCATTAGCTATTGGTCCATCTGTTGTGGCTGTTTTTATAGGATTTCAATCTTTTAATTATATGTCCAGGTTTTATAATTACATAAATGTAGCAGACAACGGAAAAGATATGTTTACCAACTGAATGTACACAAAAAAAAAAACAGTTTATAGACAGTAATGTAGACAAAAAAAATATATAAAAAGATAGGAAACTGCAACAGTCCATTGTACACCTACAACATACTCTTTATCTACTACAAAAATAATAGCCACCAGTACGTATTCAATCTAATATATAAAGCTCAATTCTGTATGTAACATGTAATAAGTTTGTTTGTCGTGGACATACTTTGATGGATTTAAGTGTTAGATTATTATCGTGCTCATAGTCTAAATTTATGAGTTAAAAAATTACTATTGAAAGTGTTGGGAAATAATTTTCATTTTTCAAACTGATAGTAATAATTGTCGGCATGTTCATTAAACACAATTTAAAAAAAATATCATCTTTTACAAAAATTCTAATTATGTCTGAAAATGATTTATATTTAGTCCTTTAGCACTTACTTCCCTTTGATAAATTAGGAAAACACAATTACTTCCCTTTACAAAACATTGCATTAGTGGAAAAGAATTTACTTTTTATTACTTTGTTTTGGTGTTGGGAAAAAATAATTACATAATTTTAAAAAAGTAAAGTGCTGAAAAAAAATTAAAAAAAAAAACAAAAACGTTTTAATAACAAGCTTTTATGTAATAATGTACTAAAAAGTGGAAAATGAATAAATTTCTTAAAATATATAATAATACACTACTATTTATATAACTATAAAGAAAAGCGTGGATCACTATATTATCTTTTGGGGAGGTTTATGCGAAAAAAAATATTTCAAATTCGCCGGGGTGGCGCCCTGGCAGGGCGTGATTGGTTTTTTCTCTATATGCGGTATATAAAAATAAAAGTCGATTTTGGTTTGCCAGCGTTCACCCGATAGCCATGAGACTTTAGGGAGTTGATTAGAACACTCTCGGAAAGAGTTCTGTACAAAAATCATTTTTAATTTCGCAAGGGCAGCACCACGGAATGGTGGGATTTTTCTCTATATACGGTATATAAAAATAATAAAAGTGAATTGCAGTGACAGTGTTCACACGACGGCCATGAAACTTTGGGAAGATGTTGAGAATATTCCTGGGGAGGTTTCTGTGCTAAAAACATTTTCAAATTTGAAGGGGTTGCGCTCTGGCAGGGCGCAATTTGTTTTCTCTCTCTATATATGGTATATAAAAATAAAAGTTGATTGCGGTTTCACAACGTTCATCCGATAGCCATCAAAAAATCATTTTTAATTTCGCAAGGGCTCCGCCACGGAATGGTGGGATTTTTCTCAATAGACGGTATTTAAAAATAAAACACGATTGCGGGTTGACGCAATTTATCCCGGTGCCATAAAACTTTAGGGAGCTGATGAATACTCCCGAGAAGGTTTCTGGGGTGGGAGGGGGGGAATAGGGATGGGTGTGTGGTGTGGGCGGGGAAATTTAATTTTGCTTGGGCGGCCCCCCGGCAGGATGCGATTTGGCGCCCTGGTCTTTCCAATGAGCGCTATGGTGAATACGTTAGGTCTAAACAGTGTGATAGACAATGAATAGGATGGGGCATTACAAACGCTTACTAAATTGAATCAGGCGTGTCCTCTAGCGCCCTGGTAGGGTACGATTAGGCTGCAAATAAAAATGTCTGTTTCGGCCCCCAAAGGCTCACATGGGCCACTGAGGACCATGTAATACGTTTTATTTTAATAATCAGAAAAATTAACCAAGGTTAGATTATTAACTGGGATGTTTCTTTTTGTCCGTAAAAAAAATCCAAATAGTTTCGTCACTTTGCGAATGATGCAATTAGAGCGGGCCTCTATGTCTCTGACACATGGGCGGTCACCGAAGTGTGTTCTACCATATTATATCAGTGAGTGATTAACGTACACTCAAAGTTTTCATGCGGCAGTGTAGGTAAACCCGTGTCCTGATATTTATGATCCAAGCGCAGGCATTGTTTACATTTAAATAACTCACTTGTAGAAAAGAAGGTCACGCGTCTAGGAACATATGATTGGTAACGTGTTAGTGAAATCCTTCTAATATATTTCGTCAAACTTTCTTCTATCCCCGCGGGAACGCGCGGGGGTCGGGTACGCTAGTATATATGTATATATATATATATATATATATATATATATATATATATATATATATATATATATAAATATATATATATATATATATATATATATATAAATATATATATAAATATATATATAAATATATATATATGTGTATATATATATATATATACATATATATACATATATATATATATGCATACATATATATATATACATACATATATATATATACATACATATATATATATACATACATATATATATATATACATACATATATATATATATATACATATATATATATACATACATATATATATATATACACACACACACATACATACATAGGAAGTGTATAAATTGAATTTATAATACAATTAAAAATATCTGATCTAATGGTGTTTTCAATAAAAGCTTTGACAAAAACTGTACCTGTATTTGATGGAGACACCAGGATAGGGCTGAGTGTGCTAATAGATGGTGCCGATCCAGGATTTTTAAACTTTTCTACTGCAGCTGTCAGATTGTAAATAACATTTTCTATTCTCTCAGCTCGGGCCACCAGCTTGTCAAGATCTTCATTTAAAATGTATAGTGATGCATTGCTCTTCTAAAAAAAATGGTTAAAACATTAGTGATGCATTGCTCTTCTAAAAAAAATGGTTAAAACATTAGTGATGCATTGCTCTTCTAAAAAAAATGGTCAAAACATTGGTGATGCATTGCTCTTCTAAAAAAAATGGTCAAAACATTAGTGATGCATTGCTCTTCTAAAAAAATGGTCAAAACATTAGTGATGCATTGCTCTTCTAAAAAAAATGGTCAAAATATTAGTGAAGCATTACTCTTCTAAAAAAAATGGTCAAAACATTAGTGAAGCATTGCTCTTCTAAAAAAAATGGTCAAAACATTAGTGATGCATTGCTCTTCTAAAAAAATGGTCAAAACATTAGTGATGCATTGCTCTTCTAAAAAAAAATGGTCAAAACATTAGTGATGCATTGCTCTTCTAAAAAAAAATGGTCAAAACATTAGTGATGCATTGCTCTTCTCAAAAAATGGTCAAAACATTAGTGAAGCATTGCTCTTCTAAAAAAAAAATGGTCAAAACATTAGTGAAGCATTGCTCTTCTCAAAAAATGGTCAAAACATTAGTGATGCATTGCTCTTCTAAAAAAAAATGGTCAAAACATTAGTGAAGCATTGCTCTTCTAAAAAAAATGGTCAAAACATTAGTGATGCATTGCTCTTCTAAAAAAATGGTCAAAACATTAGTGATGCATTGCTCTTCTAAAAAAAAATGGTCAAAACATTAGTGATGCATTGCTCTTCTAAAAAAAATGGTCAAAACATTAGTGATGCATTGCTCTTCTCAAAAAATGGTCAAAACATTAGTGATGCATTGGTCTTCTAAAAAATGGTCAAAACATTAGTGATGCATTGGTCTTCTAAAAAATGGTCAAAACATTAGTGATGCATTGAACTTCTCAAAAAATGGTCAAAACATTAGTGATGCATTGCTCTTCTAAAAAAAATGGTCAAAACATTAGTGATGCATTGCTCTTCTAAAAAAAAATGGTCAAAACATTAGTGATGCATTGCTCTTCTAAAAAAAATGGTCAAAACATTAGTGATGCATAGCTCTTCTAAAATGGCCAAAACATAAGAGATGGTTACATACCTTAAAGTTGTCATGCTCATCCTTTTTAAAAGCTAAAAACTCTCCTCTAAGCAGGTACATTTCATTCTGGAACATTAAACAGACAACTTGTATATGACATTAGAAGAATTAATACGGAACTTGTTTGGACAACTTTCTTGCTAACTAAATCATTTACGGAACTTGTTTGCACAACTTTCTTGCTAACTAAATCATTTACAGAACTTGTTTGCACAACTTTCTTGCTAACTAAATCATTTACGGAACTTGTTTGCACAACTTTCTTGCTAACTAAATCATTTACTGCTTAATGTCAGCTTACATTAAAAAAAAAAGTTAACCAGTAAACTGAGGCATAGCCCCCACCCTCCCCCTCCAATAAAAACCAGAGCTTGGACATAAAATTATTGAAGGCTTTGTATGTAATATAAAATATAAGTTAAGAGCTAAAACCTAGATTACTTCTTACTAAGTTCTTCATTACTGGTTACAACTTACAAGATAGATCAGTATCCTAACAGTAGATCTACTAACTAGTATGGTTAGATCTAGAAATTAGCGTGTTTGTCATTCTTTTATTGTATTTTTCTCCCTACATAATTTAAATCTTAAATTCAATTGCAAATACTAAAAAGAACGTATAGAAGCTAGATTGTCCACATTATTTAGATCTATTAGTGGATTCTAGAATTAGATGATACTTGTAAATATTGTAAGTAAACTAGGAAACAGATACAAGTGCTGAAGGGAGATAATTGCTTTTCCTTGCCTTTTTTTCAATTCGATTTATTACTTTTCTTTATTAATTATTTAAAAAAAAAATTTAAAAAATTAAAAAAAAAAACTTTGACGAAAACTGGCGGGACGGTAGGCATGTCTCATATAGATCTACCTATTAATTCGCAATATGCATAGTTCAAAATCACTAAAATTTAAAATGTAGGAATTAAAGTGGTTTAAATACTAGATTGGGTAGTAACGTTTTTTTTTTTACCGAATTTATAGGAATTGAAGCCTAACCTAGAAAGCAGGTGAGAGCTAAAAATTATATGACAAGGTTTATCTCTCAGAGTCTAGAATACTAAGTGATAAGGCCAGAGCTCAGTGGCAGGCAGGGGGGGGGGGGGGGCCTGAATAGGAGGCCACCAATTTTCTCTAATCAACAAAAATAATTGTCTTGTGGATTTTTTGTTTTTTCTTACACTCAAAATGAATGTCCAAACTAGAAGCTTTTATCCTTTTAAATTTACAAATACAAAAAAGTATGAGATTCTCCCGCCCCCACCCCCATCCAAAAAAAAGGAATGTTGTCCCTTGATCAAACATAAACGCCAGTGTTAACTGTGATTGCTTCATGCCAGAGAATGTTTACTTCAAGTGAGCTCTAGCAAAATGAACACATGTCTACTTGATTGATCTGGCTTTTAAAACACAACAAATGCGTCAATTACATCAGGATAACTTACTTTCTCCGATTTGCTTGTGTTAAGTGGACAAATCCCACATACAAATCCCACATACAAACATAATACAATGTGACATCAAATGTAATCCTGCGCCTTTCATTAGATCCATACAAGCAACACAATAACCCTAACTCTTCCATACAAGCAACACAATAACCCTAACCCTTCCATTAGACAAGCAACACAATAACCCTAACCCTTCCATTAGACAAGCAACATAATAACCCTAACCCTTCCATTAGACAAGCAACACAATAACCCTAACTCTTCCATACAAGCAACACAATAACCCTAACCCTTCCATTAGACAAGCAACACAATAACCCTAACCCTTCCATACAAGCAACACAATAACCCTAACCCTTATGTTCCCTGCTGAAGACACATTTATTTTTCAAATGTTTTTGGCAGATATCCTTCATTTATATATAGATCATACTGAGAGATTTGTGACCCAAGAACACAGCATGTATTACTCTCTAGTTAAATTACCATCAGTTGACATTTTATTTCCTATCTAGGGATACTTGTGTATTTTCATTATACTAATTTACTTATTGCTAAACTTTTATTTAACTAACACACAAGCACTTTTTATATATATATATTTATATACTGCACTAGTCTCTGTAAAAAACCTATCTGTAAAGGACCATGACATGTGTTTGGCAATGAGCATATACCCAGCATTGCCTCGGTTTTGGAAATATCTTGTTTTTTTAATTAACCCTAACCAAAACCAACCAAAACCAGAACACACACAAAAAAAAAAAAATGCAAACATAACACAAATGCAAACAAAAACCCAAACCCAAACAAAACAGCAAACGAAAACAAACCCAAATCCAACCTCAAACCCAAACAAAAAGAAAACACAAATGCAAACCAAAAAGGAAACACAAATGCAAATACAAACAATAACGCAAACTTAAGCGCAAACAATAACTCAAAATAATGCAAATAAACACAAACATAAACTTAAATGCAAACATAAACGCAAAGTGCTCACAGTCTAGCCCGGGGCGCCAAATCGCACCATGCTGGGGCGCAGACAAAACCGTCTGATTCAATTTAGTGAACGACTATAATACCCTAGCTTATCCGCAAACAGAAAGATAGAAGTAAAATATAGAGGACATTTAGGAATGGCTTCTAAACTGTAACTGATTTTAAAAAATATATTAGTAAACTGTACGTTCAGTGTATAAAATAAATAAAAGCCAGTATTTAAAATATCTGTGTTTTACTTTATCAATCCACAATCCAACACCAAATCAAAGTAATAAAAAGTAAAATTCGTCCAGACCACCCCCCCTCCCCCCCCGGTGTAATAATTTTTAAAAAGGGAAGTAATTGTGTTCTCCTAATTTATCAAGGGATGTAATGAGTGCTAAAAGACTAAAAGTAAATAATTTTCAGACACAATTAGAATTTTTGTGAAGGGTGATACATTTTCATTAATTTTTTTAATGAACGTGCCAACAATTAACACTATCAGTTTGGAAAATGAAATTCTTTTTATAACACCTTCAATATTATTTTTATCATTAATTTAGATAATTAGCACTTTAGATATATCACACTATGGCAGGGGTCGGCAACCTGCAGCTCTTTTGATGTCAAGATGCTGCTTTTCAGCCCCATATTAAAAATATATATTTTCTATATAAATTTCTTTTCGTTCGGAGGGCGGTAGACTATCTTCGGGGGGTGGAGGGAGGGGGGGGGGGGGCTCCCGAAGTGATGCCTGGAAGAAACTCTGATCCTGATTTGTTTTGAAAATAAAATTTTTGTTGAATACATGGAGAGCGGTAAATTACTTAATTTCGAAAAGTCTGAAAAAATATCGTGATGATACCAATGCAACTATTAACATGAATTACTTTATTAAAATAAACAAAATTAAGGATGAGTTCACTGAGAGATTTGAGCAATTCAAAACAAATGCGAATACTCTGACGTTCATAATAGATTCTCTCAACACAAAAACAAATGAGATTAACTTTCAGCTGTTTGGAATTGATGCTGGTTCGATTCAAATGTAATTGTTGGATTTGAAAACGACACATTTGTGGAGCGGTAAATTCATAAAACTCAAGAGAATGTAAAAATGGTTGGAGGTCCAGGAAAACAAGCACGTTACACTGCACAAGTGGACAGCTTTAAAAGAAATGCCGCGGCTTGAAGCACTCATATGTGGCGCATGGAATAGTCTTCCAGGATGCTACAGTGAGGTGAAGAAGTTGGCGTTTGGAGTGCTGACGATCTTCGGGTCAACATTATCATGCGAGCAAACGTTTTCTTGCATGAACATAATGAAAAGTAAAGAAAGAACGCAACTAACATATTATATTATCCTAGCAGAACTAGTTAAAATACTTTAATATTTTTTGTGTGAAACGTGTATGTTTTTATATGAATAAATATCATTTCATATTTAAAGCTATTTATTTTAAATAATATATATAGAGCTATATATATATATATATATATATATATATATATATATATATATATATATATATATATATATATATACATACATACATATATATACACATATATATATATATATACATACATACATATATATACATACATACATATATATACACATATATATATAAACATACATATATATACATATACATACATATATATACATATGCATATACATACATATATATACATATGCATGTACATACATATATATACATATGCATGTACATACATATATATACATATGCATGTACATACATATATATACATATGCATGTACATACATATATATACATATGCATGTACATACATATATATACATATGCATGTACATACATATATATACATATGCATGTACATACATATATATACATATGCATGTACATACATATATATACATATGCATGTACATACATATATATACATATGCATGTACATACATATATATACATATGCATGTACATACATATATAAACATATGCATGTACATACATATATATACATATGCATGTACATACATATATATACATATGCATGTACATACATATATATACATATGCATGTACATACATATATATACATATGCATGTACATACATATATATACATATGCATGTACATACATATATATACATATGCATGTACATACATATATATACATATGCATGTACATGCATATATATACATATGCATGTACATGCATATATATACATATGCATGTACATACATATATATATACATATGCATGTACATGCATATATGTACATATGCATGTACATACATATATGTACATATGCATGTACATACATATATGTACATATGCATGTACATACATATATGTACATATGCATGTACATACATATATGTACATATGCATGTACATACATATATGTACATATGCATGTACATACATATATGTACATATGCATGTACATACATATATGTACATATGCATGTACATACATATATGTACATATGCATGTACATACATATATGTACATATGCATGTACATACATATATGTACATATGCATGTACATACATATATGTACATATGCATGTACATACATATATGTACATATGCATGTACATACATATATGTACATATGCATGTACATACATAT